GGGACAAAGGTTGCCACCTGCTCGAGCCCCAGGAGGCTACGGGGCAGGAAAGAGAGGGAGAGGGAGACAGGCCAGCTGCGAGCCGGGGAATCCAACTAGTGCTGTTAGGTCGGGCAAGTCCTCCTACAGGCGGATCTTGGACGAGAAATTAAAAATAGTCAAACAATAGTTGAAAAATACCCGAAAATCGTCCCCCGACTACTGTTTTACTATTTTTGGATACACCTCCTGTAGAGGGACGTGCCCGACTTAATGTTACCGGCTACATCCCGCTGTCTTAAAAAGTGCGGACCGCAGAGTTCGGGCAAGAGTGCTCGCAACGTCCCCGTTAGGCCACGGGGCCCAAGTACAATGCTGCAGAAACCCGCCCGGGCGATTCTGCAGTATTCCCATGTCCCCATATAATTGCCAAATGGGAAACCAATCGGATAATCACAACGCCGCCCAATTTCTCCTACTGAAATACTCTCCGCTTGCCTCACCGACCAGCCGGAGAAGTCATCTTTACAACTGGAGATTCGCGATTTCGCCTAGGACTTCCCCACTGAAAATTATCCAGTCCCATTCCCAGCCGCCAGAGAACAGCGACTTCGCTTGAGACTTCCTCACAACCATGTTTGTGGACCGTACATGTGCCGCCAGGAAATGTCGATTTCCCCTGGGACTTCCTCACAGCCACATTCGCTGCCGCATCTCACGCCGCCAGAGAGTTGCGATTTCGCGCAAGACATCCTCCGCGTTCATCTGGCGCCTGCACCGACGTACCGACGCAACAGGTTCCATTTTCCCATTACTGCCAAGCTCTGCAGTCAAACGTTTCACGTGCCTCTCATTGCGCGCTGTCCAGAGAAGCCAGATTCCAGAGCTGTCGCTCATCCGAGCACGTCCGAGCTAGGCCCCAAGCGGTAACGTCCATTCGGTTTGCGGGGTCGGCTTGGAGCCATCTTGGGACCACCTGGAAGTGAACTTCGGCTCATGCAGTCCGCTGGGGGGCGGCGTTTCGTTCTCTTGGCCACGACCGATGGAGGAACGAGGATTCAGGGACGCTCGAAGATAAAGGATACAAGATCGAGGGTCCATCGAAGATCGAAGATCAGACTCTTGGATCTTAAACGGACCCCAGATCCTGGATCGGTCCAGGGTTCGGCAATCGAGGTTCCAGGTCAGGGGGTCCAGGGCCGCTGGAAGATGGAGAATGGACGATCGAGGATCGATGAGTGATCGAAGATCGAGGATCGAGGATCCAGGGTCCGCCCTGGGTCTTGGATTTTCGGTCGAAGCTGGACCATCGATCGTCCATCGGCTCTGGATTATGCAGCCTTTGGATGTCGATCGGTCCTGGACCTGTAGTCTTCGATCAGCCCTGGATCCTCGATCGTGGATCCTCAATCTTACACCGTCAAATCTGGTTCGACCCTGAGTCTTCGATCTTCGATCGGCCCCGGATCCCGGAACATCGGTGTCTGCTCGGTCCTCGATCCTCGGACTGCGGCCCTCGGCCCTCGATCCTCGATCGATCCTGGAACCTCGATCGCGGGTTCTTGAGATTCGGACGGCGGCAGATGATTGATCTTCGACCAGCCCTTGATGCAGAATTCTCGTCCCGCGGTCGATCTTGGACATTTCGCTCGCGATCGTTTCTGCTCCCTCGATTCCGCATCTTCGGTTCCTGGCGGACCTCGGCCCTTCCATCTTCGATCGAGCCTCGATCCTGGATGATGCAGGAACCGCCATGCGATTGATCCCGGGCCCTCAACAGTGGGCGGACAAAACGTGTCCACACCCATCGCGCCAAGATGATACGACATCGAATTGCGTCGAACAAATATCCAGCCCCCGTCCCCCCGACCCAACGCTGACGGGGTTGGCTGCGGGGCAACGCGCGGGGGACAATATTTGGATACTTCAACTTTGGGCTTGGGGGCGAGGGGGGCGAGCCACATGTATACTGCAAGTGTCGTTGCCATCATGCCTGATTGTCTTCACGCCGTCAGCGTGGACACTTTTTGCCCGGGCACCGAATGTCGTTCGAAAAAGGAGGATCGAGGACCGAGGATTGATCGAGGATCGAGGATCGAGGATCGAGGATCGATGGAGGGTCAGTTCCAGGATCGAGGATCGAGGATCGAGGATCGATCGACGGTCGAAGTGCCACGGCCGATATCGAACGATTTGTTCAGGGGGCGACTGCTTCCTGAAGTGCCAATCCCTTTTTTGAATCCAGGAGGCAGTAAGCCCTGACAAAAACATATTCCCGCGCGGGTGACCCATCAGTTACAGGGGCACCGAGGGGGGGGGGAAAGCCAGAGAGCCCGATTTACACATGGCGCGAAACACCGACTCGCCGCGAATCGTCTGGGAAATGTGGCAACATCCCGGACTTCCCTTGACCCACCCCATCCCTGGCAAAGAACTTGTAACCCATTTCGTCTTCTGTTGATCCTGCGGCCCGGAATGGGCCTCGAAAGACCCTGACCAAGGGAACGGCAAGCGCCATTAT